ATTAGGGTTTAGGGTTTGGGGATTAGGGCTTAGGGTTACATAGAGGATCAGAGTCTAGGGATTAGGGTTTAGGGTTATACAGAGGGTTTAGGCTTTAGGGATTAGGGTTATATATGGGATCAGGGTCTAGGGATCAGGGTTTAGGATTATATAGGGGATTAGGGTTTAGAGATTAGGGTTTAGGGTTATACAGAGGGTTTAGGGATTAGGGTTTAGAGTTATGTAAGGGATTAGGGTTTAGGGTTTAGGGTCATATAGAGAATTAGGGTGTAGGGTTTAGGGTTTTCTAGTATAGGGGATTAGGGTTTAGGGTTTAGGGTTATATGGGGGATTAGGGTTTAGGGATTAGGGTTTAGGGTCTAAAATCCTTAAATGGGGGTACACAAGGGATTATATAGGGGACTACTATAGGGGTTATTCAGGGGGAACTGGGAGTTTAGACTAGACTAAAGCTCGATTGGGTTTGTTGTCTAAAAGATGGGCTCCTTTTGGTTATAGATTATATTACGGCATCTAATATCTAGGAAATCCTAACTGGGACCTTAATTTTGGGAACTACCCAGTTAGAAGGGGTATTTAGGGATTACGGCCTAGGGTTGTTTTGAAAGGGTTACAGGGATTGTGTAGGGGTTATACAAGAGTTACATAGGGTTTTTAGGGTTCAGGGTTTAGGGTCGGTTTAAGGTGTCAAGGGATAAGAGGAATTAAGTATACTTATACAGGGGTAACGCCAGAGTTCTGTAGGGGTACCTGGGGTTCTTTAGGTTTTAGTTCCTCTAAATAGGTTGTAGGGGTTGTATAGGGGTTGACATAAGAGTGTCAAATGGGGATGTATGGTTTAGGTTGCATGCAAGACTGGGATTTTGAGAAAGGAATTGAGCGGCGGCCAAAACCCCCATCTGGAAATCTGTATACGGTAAAACTCTAAGATTGGCTGCATCAGCTTTTATGGTGTGCGCGATAGCTCATGACAGTGACCGCATCAGTTAAATCCAGAGATGCATCCGCGTCAGCTATTCCTGGGGCGGCGTCGGTCCGCGACAGGTGCAGGCGATAGCGCAAGACTACTTTAACCAAAGGTTCAAAGGGTCTAAACCACCGCTCAATTGTATAGGCTGTTCGTGAAAGAGATTCTAGTGCTCACTTCTTTCCAAGCTTAAGCCGTGCGGGACAAGATTACATTTCCAAGGAACAGGCGACCTGCTGTTATTTCAGTAGTTTCCATCTCGTTTCCATGTAGAGTTTCCATTTGATTCTCCATTATTCATCTTTTCCAAGTATCCTCATGGTTCTTATTACACAACATTAATCACTAATTATTGCCGATATTTTTTGTTATGACAACGACTACTGGTACTACTCTGGCAATTTTTGTTGAAAGATGCGCCCTAAACCCTAAACCCCGAGAGGTAACCATGCGCAAGCACATGGAGACCACCCTCAGTCGCCTGGAGCAGGGTCTCGGTGCCTGGGAGAAGGCGTTGCTTTCAGGGACTTTCTAGGGTTTAGGGTTCAGGGTTCAGGGTTTAGGGTTCAGGGTTTAGGGTTTAGGGGATTATATAGGGACTATATGGAGTTATATAGGGTTTAGGGTTTAAACTCCAGACTACTATGGGGGTGTTTAAGGGGGATACTAGGAGTTTAGACTATGGCTCATGTGAGCAATGGACTACAGTTAGGTTGGGGGGACCTATAGGGGGATGTACTGGGGTTTAGCGTGGACCTTTAAGGAAAAACAATAACTGTAGACCAGGGCGCATGTACCAGGGAAGTTAAGATGGTAGTTCAGTTGAATCCCTAAACCGCGACACATGGAACACCCCGACAAGTATAGTTTCTATTGTTATCATGACAACTGTTACTTGTTACTATTCTTGTTACAGAAAGCGTCGCCCTGGACACCCCAATTTTTAGGGGTTCCGAGAGAGGTCTGAAAACCCACTAACGTATACCTACTCGCTATGTTTTCAAGGAGAACTCTTTGCAGGAGGCTTTGACTATGATCAGTAATCTTGGGTCTGTCAGCAACATGCTGGAGTCTTTAACGCTGTGGCTTGCATCTAGCTTCTCAGGCAACAAAACGCGTCAAAACGCTGCCACCTGGCGTCGTAGGGAACATATATACATATATCTTCGGGCGGGGGGGGAGGGGGGGGGGGGCGG